AGACAGAAACATGAAAAATAAACACAGGTGGCTGATGCTTCATTTAATACCTTTATAAACATAATAAGTAGATTTTTACAAACCGGTTGTAGATTTCTCCAACGTGGAGCAAACTCAGACAGAAACACATTGCAAGTGCAGAGCAGCAACTCAACTCAAGAGCTCAGAAACAGACCTCAGTTTCACTTTAGTTCAGCAGGCAAGCAAGACACACAGCAGAGGAGAGAAGCCATTTCATTTCCAGTAGACAGACTCAAAGCTCAATATAGTTGCAGAGCTTAATACAGAGCCACGCCTAGGCTACTTTTAGTTTCAGTTTCCAAGCAGTCCTCATTGGCTGTCTTAGTTGCTATGCCTATTCCTTGGCTGACCTTGTTACCAAGCTCTGTTCCAGTTCATGAATGTACTCTGACAATCCTCATTTACTTTGCCTTTTTAAATCAATCAACTAGATTGACCTTTTCTGGTTGTCTCAAGTTATTTCCAGTTGTGGCAAGGAGAAAGACTTGCACACAACAGTCAAAATAGAGCCGGAAAGGACCTGAGAGGTCTTCTAGTCCAACCCTCAGTTCAGGCAGGCGACCCCAATACCATTCCTGACAAATGGCACTCAGATTGGAGTGTTTTTTAAAAAAAATCACCTGTGATAAAGCATCCACAACAGCACCCAAAATTTCTGGTGGCAAGCTGGTTAATTGTTCTCACTGTGCCAGTCCTGATGAGGTGACCTAGTTTGGGTTAGGAATCATCTGTGGGGAAACAACTAAGAGAGAGAGAGAGCCGCCCTTCCAAACTTAAAAAAAAAAAAAACTTAAAAGAAAAATGGAAATGAATAAAGACATCGAACACAAGAGCTGAAAGGATACTCTGTGAATCATGTGAATCATATGGGAAATGCACAGGCTGTATTTTTCATTTTTAATAACATTAATAATAACATTTTTAAGACAGGATGTATATTGCTTTTACGACAGTAGAGGGCCATGAATGAATAGCCCAGGTCGGAAAATACCTCTTTTAAAATAAAAAAAGCATTTGTCTTCAAATAATTAGCCCAAGGAACTTTAGGATAAAGATACCAGCAAGTTTAGCAGATTTTTATCCATTGAGTTTTTCTTCTGCTGGACAATCTCAAGGTCACAAAACCTTTCATTGTGCATGAATTATTATAATTCTAAATCATTAAACTTAGGAAGTTCTGGTGTACGGATTATTTAAAAACATGGTATTTCAATACTTGGAAAGTGGCATTCCCTCCGGTCTCCAGCTCTACAAAAATGCATTTATGTCCCTAACCATCACCTGGAACACAAAGTGTCTTTAACGCACTAAAAATATAATCCAAAGACTGGAACGCTGACAATTTACATCTCTTATTCTTACAGGAATCCCAAATACAAAGATTCATTCCTCGTTGGACACGGCTCTTGTAAGTTTTGACTCGGCTGCGTGTTATGCCAATGCTTTGTGATAAAAATGAAGCAACAGGACCGAAAGAGATTTTTTTTTTGGCGTTTACATCCTGAGGGTTTTTGTCTATCTTGCTTGTGTATAAATGGCACATGATCTGCAAGGCGCCTTTTCTGCTTGGCTGAAGTTATTTCCAGTTATGGCAAGGAGAAAGATTTGCGGCACAGCACTCAGAATGGAAGCTGGAAGGGACCTTGGAGGTCTTCTAGTCCAGCCCCCTGCTCAGAGAAGAGACCCTGGACCATTTCAGACAAATGGCTTTCTAAGTCTCTTCTTGAAAAATCCCCCAGCGTTGGAGCATTCACAACTTCTGGTGGCAGGCAGTTCCACTGGTTCATTTCCATTCCTTGTTTCTTGTCTTGCCTTTGAATGCTTTGGAAAATAAATTGATCCCCCCTCTTCTTTGTGGCAGCTCCTCAAATATTGGAAGACTGCTATTATGTCACACCTAGATTAGCAGGTTGTAAAGACCGTAACACTGCATCCCTTAGGAATCGAGATAAACTGAAGACCTACTACACACACAAAGACAGCGAGAGCATGGCTGATGTCTTTCCCTCCTCCAGAGTTTGAGTCATTCTCAAGTCAATCAACCAGAATAGAGCCGGAAGGGGCCTTGGAGGCCATATAGTCCACTCCCTGCTCAACCAGGGGACCCTAAACCATTTGAAACAGGTGCCTGTCCAATCTCTTCTTAAAAAAACCTCCAGTGATTAAGCGCTCACAACTTCTGCTGGCAGGGAGTTCCATTGGTTAATTGTTCTCACCGATAGGAAATTTCTCCTAAATTCCAGGTTGCTTCTCTCCTTGATTAGTTCAATTAGTTCCAATTCTTTCTTGTTTTGCCTTCTGTTGTTTTGGAAAATAAGTTGATACCCCCCGCCCTCTTCTTCTCTGTGGCAGGCCCTCAAAAGTACAGGAATACTGCTGGTATCGGAGAGGGTTTTTGAGATATATATGTATAATTCAATATTTGATTTTTGTATATATTATATACTAGCTCGATACGCGTGCTTCGTTATGAAACTATGCGGTCGGGCTTAGTTTTAGGGGAGGAAAAGAAAGGGGGAAAAATCCTGCCTCTGCCTACCAGCATCCATCGGTATTCATCTGGCAAGCGTCCTGTCAGTGTGTCAGAGAGTTGTGGGCTGTTTAGAAAGTGAAGCAGTATTTGCTGTACCAGCAAGAAGGAGACAGCGAGGAGCCCGGGCGTGGCTTCGCTCAACTGTTTTGTACTAAAGCTGGTTGGGGCTGTGAAACTGAAACTGGACCTCCTCTGCTTGTGTTTTGCATTTGGAAGAGATTTCTTTTCAGGTGGAGAGGAGGAGTTGAACTCCTTAGCATCAGAGCGTAATAATAATAATAATAATAATAATAATAATAATAATGGAAATACTCTAAATGCTCTGATGGTCATTTGATAAAATCCTTTCTTAGCGAGCATCTAGAAGCCAAGAGGAACAGATGTGCCCAATTTCAAGTTTGTAGGTTTTACAGTTCGGGAGATTGTGTGATGATGCGTGAGGAGTATTTCATGTGTGTGTGTGTGTGTGTGTGTGTGTATACATACATATACATACATACATATACATACACATACACATACACATACACACACACACACACACACACACACACACACACACACACATATATATATATGTGGATCTTTGGTTATTTGGGTTTTCTCCCGCGTAAAATTGGAAGTATCTAGGCGACGTTTCGATGAAGTCTCATTCATCATCTTCAGGCTTGTGTCTTCGGCTCTGTGCTTCTCAGAGTAAAAAAGAGAGTAATATTCGGGAGAAAACCCGAATAACCAAAGATCCACATACAAATACCCGCGAAAACCTCAGAAAACATTGTATGTATGTATGTATGTATGTATGTATGTATGTATGTATGTATGCATGTATCAGTATTTGAGCTATATAACAGAGTTGATTGCATAAAGCCTCCCCAGGACATCATCGTTAGGGCAGGCTAAAAAATCTTGATTGCGATCCCAAATTAGCCTCTGCAAATCAGACTTAACCAATCTGTCAATGCGGTCACTGGTACTAATACATTTGCTAAACCGAAAACATCAGTCGCGTGTGGCCAGGTGTGCAAAACGGATGGCCCCTTATTAGGTGACACGTCTCTCTCCCAACAAAGATGGGGAGAAAATGGCCGAAGCGAGCCATCAATTCTAGCTGACAGCTTGATTGTAGCTCAGACATTTAAGTTCTCCGATATTTTGCCTAATTTCTTTTAGGACGCTTGCATATCCATTTTATTTTTAATTGGCCAATAGGATCCTGTACCCCACAGCGTATTTAGAAGAAGAATAGAATAATGACAAAGTTGGGAGGGACCTTGTAGGTCATCTAGTCCAACCCTCCCACCCAAGCAAGAGACCCTACACTATTTCTGACAAATGGCAATCCAATCTCTTCTTAAAAGCCTCCAGTGATGAAGCTACCACAACTTACAAGGGCAACTTCTGTTCCACGGGTTGATGGTTCTCACTGTCAGAAAGTTTCTCCTTATTTCCAGGTTGAATCTCTCTCCTTGTTCAGTTTCCATCCATTATTCCTTGTCTGGCCTTCGGGTGCTTTGGAGAATAGCTTGACCTCTTTCTCCTCTCTTGGGCAGCCCTTCAGATACTGGAAGGCTGCTCTCCTGTCTCCCCTGGTCCTTTTCTTCCCTAGACTAGCCAAGCCCAGTTCCTGCAACCGTTCATCATAGGTTTGAGCCTCCAGTCCTCTCATCTTCCTGGTTGCTCTTCTCTGCACTCTTTCTAGAGTCTCAACCTCTTTTTTTATAGTGTGGTCAACAAAACTGGATGCAGGACTCTAGGTATGGCCTTACTAAGGCTTTAGACAGTGGTATTAGCACCTCATATGATCTTGATTAAATCCCTCTGTTAATGCAATTTAGGATTACATTGACCGTACACAATTTTTGAAAAGCGGTAGACTATCTGAATTGTATTGCAAAGGTCATAGAAACAGTTGAGGACTGAAAGCTGCTATATATGTTATTGATTGGAAGCATGGGTTGCTGCTTTCCATTACAAAAAAAATTCTAGTTGTTGATCACAAATTCATCCAAAGGGTCTCAGTTCTCATGTGGCTGCAGCAGCTCACCTCTAAAGTTCCTGGATTGTGTTGAGAAAGTTTCTTTATGGCTCGTCCGTCAAAGTATCAGCCTTTCTTCCAATCTGCACCAAAACTCTTTTAAGCTATTTATGGTTTGGGCTCAAGTACAAGATCCTTCTTCCCTAAGTTCTTTGCTCTGTCATCGAAGATAATATCTGTGGCTCAGAGTTGGACTCTGAGCTGGGTGGTTTTCCTTGCAGACGTTTCATGACCCAACTAGGTAACATGCAATGTGGAGGAGGAGGAGGAGAGGGGGGAGGAGGAGGACGACAGTGGGGTGTTTGGTGCTCTCTGAGCTGGATTGTTTTTCTTGCAGACATTTCATGACCCAACTAGGTAACATCATCAATGCTAGAAGGGAGTGGGGTATGTGAAGAGGAGGATAATTTGAGCCTGGCTTACCTCCATTCCATTTAAAAAAAAATTGAAACAGTTTCTTGTATGTGCAATCGACAGACAATCTATTTTCTGGCAATATATATTAATATAAATACTTTTCCCCCATTAGCTTGTTCTTCTGTTGTCTGAATTAGGAGTTTTCAAAGACCTCCCGGTTTCGAGGGTAGACCAGGGTATTATTGTATGTTATCTGCCTTTGAATGCATTCCCCCAGTCAGTGCCTATTCTGGCTTACAGACTGATTTTAATCAAAATATTCAGCCTCCCCTTTTATTTTCCTTAGACTTGGTGTTTCATTATTGGGTCAGCAGCCCGCAAAGTGGAGCTCTGGCTGACTAAACAGATGTCCAATCAATCCTTCAGGTTGGCCTTCTCATCCTCTGCTGGACTCATTTGCACAAGATGAAAAACCCAGCAAAGCCGTGCACGCTTCCGAGCACAAGCACGGCCCTTCGATGTAGAGCGGAGCCCTGGGAATGCGATTGCCTCTTTCCAGCAGCGCTGCTGCTTTCCAACAACTTATCTCCCGTCTGAAAAGGTGGTTTGTAGCTGAGGTTTTAGAGGATGCAGAACAGAGCATAAGGGAGTCAGAAGGCACCTTGGAGGTCTTCTAGTCCAGCCTCTGCTCGAGCAAGAGACCCTATACCATTTCGGACAAAGGGCTATCCGGTCTCTTCTTAAAAGCTTGCCGTGAGGAAGAACCCCCAACTCCTGGAGGCAACTTCCATTCCATGGGTTAATTGTCCTCATTGTTAGGAAGTTTCTCCTTAATTCCAGGTTGTTCCTCTCTTTGATTAGTTTCTACCTGTTGTTTTTAGAATGGAATAGAATGGAATGGAATGGAATAGAATAGAATAGAATAGAATAGAATAGAATAGAATAGAATAGA